AAAAGTGATAAAAGGAGAGTTGTAATAAAATTTTATGCATATGTTCTACCATAGACTTATATTAAAATGTATTTTATGCCTTATATAAACTGTCTTTTGGTTTGTAATTTCTGTTTTTTTTTTTTTTTTTGGCATTCTTTTTAATTTATAAGCTTTTTCAAAGATTCGTTATTAAAATTATATTTAATCATTCAAATATTAATATTTAATTATTAAAAACTGTTCAGAAATCTCAGTCTTACTCTGCCTATATCTTCCCCAGAGATCAAATATTAATTTCATTGCCATTCGGGTTATCTGTGTGAACGTTTTTTCGTGTTTTTTTTTTTTTTTTTTACTTTTTTTTTACTTCAGTAGCGCATGCTTTGCAAGGCTTATATTCGCGGCTATGGCTACTTTTTTTTTTTTTTACATGAAACAGATGAAAAGGGATTAATTTCATAAAAATGACGACTAATTTTATAAAAATTTATTTAAAAAAAAACCCGCGTCAAATCTAGTTCTGATTTGTTTTTCCTCCACATGTGCATAGTTTGTCAATCTGAAAACGCTGATATTGTCACGTAGAATAAATAGGACTTAGTCTACGAAGTACGAGAGCTTTATTCAACACCTACAAAGTACAGTGAACAAAGTAACTGGGCCTCGGCTTGAGACACGCAGTCTTTTATAGGAATAATAACAGGAAGTGATAGGAACAGGAAATGATATGCTAGAACATTCTAGAAACTTCTAGACGAAAGATAAATAATAAATAAAAGCTAATTTTAGAGTTTTTTATTTTCTTACAGTTCTGCGGATCGAACCCTGAATCTCAGTCTTTCCAGGACGACGACTCTGACCTCTCGGCCACACTGACACGTCAATATTTATGATGGAAATGTCAAGCTTATCAAAATTGTTTAGCGTGCTTAATTCAAATTACAAGTTTCGTAATTTCGTAATTCAACTCTTTCAATTCGCAATTCAAATCTTTCGGGAGCGACAGTTCCCGAAAGATTTGATCCAAAATAGTCGTTAATGGAGATTGGTCGTTCTTAGGGGTCACTTCCATTGACTTCAAAATGTTATTGAAGGTACATGATTTTTCGTAAGCGATTTTAATTTAACTTAGTGTCATTTTCTTGGTGCAAAAATGCCTCTTGTGTTGACGTCGTGAAAACCGGATCGATTAATAAAATTTCGCGTCAATAAAAATGACTCCTACTCTTATAATTATGTGTAAAAACAAAAAAATTTAACAATTATGAATGATTGAACTATTTAAAATGAATATATAATTATGTTTTTTTGTTTAAGTTTGCATTTAATTTTATATCATAAAAATTAGTTTACTTTAAAAGAAAAAAGAGTTTTTTCTACAATAACTGAAACTACTAACTCTAAAACTAAATCATTAATAGCATCTTCTTTACTGCACTCTGACTGTAGCATGAGGTTGTCAAACTCTTTCAGCGATCTTCAAAAATAACTCTCTAAATAAGAGCCACTCACAAGCATTTTGAATACATTTAAATCTACTTATTTGTTTTGTTAATATTTATTCATTTCGATATTTTATAGTGTTCCTTATTTCACTTTTTACCTCCCATAAGTGATCGTAAATAGAGGTGGTCGCTACACAGAGATGGTCTTTCCTAGAAATTTCACTGTATCGTGTTAAAAATATCAGAATTAGAAAAACCATGTAAAAATGACCGATAAAACCATAAGTAACTGTCTGAAAAAACGATCGGAAAACAACGTGGATTTACGATGAAATCATTGCGAAGTGTGAGTGCGTTTAAAAGTGATATCCTAAATTTAAAATTCTGGATATTTCTTCCTCCCTAGATAAAAACTATTAAAAATAAATAAAAAAATTCTTTATTTCTGTACTTTTGACTCCAAACAATATAGCGTTGAAGCATTTTTTTTTTAAAGTATTGTAATAAAAATTAAGGTCTCAAACGTTTTTCAAAAAACAAAACTGTGCTAACAAATATTTTAACAAAACCGTTGCTTTTCCTCACATTGATATTTTGCACCACTTTCATCATCGTCGAACGCATTCGCTTAAGATGAGCATAATTCAACCTAACAATCACGAATAACTGTTACTAACTTACAATAGTTATAAAAATGTCATATTGTTGCGAAAAAGGTTTAGTGTTGGCAGGAAGGCAATAATTGCGCGTAATAAATGATTTTGATTTCGAAGATAATGGTTGCGAGTACAATAAATTATTCAAATTTTATTGAATGAGTTTGTTAAAGGGAGATTGTTTACCTTGCAGGCGATTGTAAGCAGTGAAGACAAAGATATAAGGGCAAATAGGGATATTAATTTTAATTTTTTAAGTAAAAATCCGATACTCCATTGTTATGAAAAATATATCAAAGTTTATTGCGCCAAAAAACATATGAAAACATAGTATTTTGCCATAAACATTATCTGGTCTTAAAGGCTGTTTTTTCGAATGCTCCATTGTAATATGAAATGATGCTTTTTGTGAATAATATGCTATTTTTATAATTTGTGAATTTGCAACCATTACTCTCGACTGTTTGGTCAAGTTTAGCCTATCTAAAGTCTGGACTGTCTCTACCCTTACTCTTATTTTGAAAATGGCGCAAAACTTCTATGGAGAAAAGCCTCAGTTTTGTGAAAATGAAAAGCGTTTGTGGTCTAATATTTTAATATTAAAAATTTTACTACAATGCTGTATTTCTTGGGCTCATAAAACTTTGCAAGAGCTGTGGATAAGGCAGTGATTTTGATAATTTTCATCTAGGTGGAAAAATGTCGCCAAATTGGCTATTTTGTAAAAATTTAATAACTTTTAAAATATTTATGTTATTTGTCTGTTGTAAAGCCCAGATAATTCTTCACGCCAATATTATATCGTAACAAAATCACATATTATTTGCAAAAATGCGTAATTTCAAAGCATTCGTAAAACGATCCACAATACGTAATATATAGTTTTTTAGCAAAAAAGTTAGTCTATGGAATGTAAAGTGTTTTTCCATATAAATGGTAAAAATCAAACTGAAAATTAAAAATGCTTTATTTTAATTTTATTTTTTTTAAAAAGTGGAAAACTTATTTTTATACTACAGTATTCACTGCAGGGTTGATAAACTATTAAATTCTTTCATAGAAGATGTGCAACTTTAACTGCATTTAAAGTATTTGTAACTGAGCTATAAACTCACAACAGTTAAATAGTATATTATTCTCTTAATAGTGTTATTTCATATTACAGAACCTTCGAACAGCCTTTGACTACTCGTTCTCGCTTATTTATTGTCAAATGCTCTTGGAACCTTCTTCTACATCGAAAACATTCTAAGACAATCACTAAGGGCTTTCACGAAATAACTAAATTTACAAAATAAATAAATGAATGTCTTATTAAATAATACTTAAAAAAGTTTTGTTTTTTTTTGTTTAAAAAAATTTAATATAAGTGTTACTAAAGGACTTTCTTTCAATTCGCCATTTATCGAAGTTTTGAGGTCCTCTTCTGACGTCATAGCATTGACGTGACTATTTCTTTTTTTGACGCCTCGGATTTGTTTGCATATATGTACTTGGAATACTCAGTTCTGAGTTTAATTTTTGTGTCGCGTTTTTTCAAAAAAATGTGTTCTTTATATTTTGAAATATCAGAAGAAGATATTGAAAAAAAGTACTTTGGGAAATTATCCTATATTGATATGCCTGATATTGAGATAATCCTATATTGATATGCCTATATTGATAATTACCTGATAGTTGAGATGCGGATTTACGAAATTTAGTTTACACGAGCAGAAATTCTTCTACCTGAATCTTAGTTGAAGCAACCTCTACAAATACTGCCACCTACCGTGAAGAACATAAAACTCAGTCGGAAATAAGGTGAATACGTTCTTAAATTTGAAAAAATCAAAACTTTCTTTTCATTCAAATTCAAGAAGTTGCCTGTTAATGTATTATTACCTATTTGGTTTGGCACGTTTTCTGACAGTTTAGCATCTATTAACTTATCCCTGTAAAATACATTTTTTAAGTGTTTAAGTTGACTATTTTTTTTTTCTCTTTCATACCCTCTCTTGACATGATCCTAAACATTTTGTTTTTCCCCTAAGATTCGTTTTTATTTCTGCCTTCGCGTTCTACTTTCGGGATATGAAATTCGTTTCCGAAAAGCAATTTTCTTTTATGGAACAATTTGCCTCGGAATAAAGTGGCTTCAAAGAAAAAGAAAGGAGAAATTCTTGTAGATTTGTTTTTAACTATTGAATGTCAAAATAATAGAGAAACTCTTCGACGATTAGAGTCGGCATCTGGTCTTCTTTACTGGTTTCTTTTATTTTTACTATTTTGGGAGTTGACTAATAAAATGTGGCATATCTGATGTTAGTTTGATAATAGCAAACAGAAATTTCGATCTTAACTTGCTTCGCGAGCTTAAGGCTGTTTTCTATCACCGCCAAAAATCTCCTCTTGGTCTTTTGAAAGTGATGCGCCTTACTTTTTTTCCTCTCTGGCTTGTTAAAAATCAAATTATTTTCGTATTTTTTCATCCATTCGAAGTGTTTCATTTTATTTTAACGAGTCATTGTATCCCGATTTCCATTTTAAAATGTGACCAACTTTTTTGAAATTCAAATTTTTTTTTGTATTTATTGAATCTTTTAGTTAAATTAGTTTTTTGTAATTGTGTCATTAAATACAGAAAATAAAATTTAAGTAAAGAGAAAATGGATAGTAACAGCGTTTTATTTTTTGCATAACAATAATGAAAAATAAAAAATAAAAATTCACTTTGGAAAAAAATCTAAGAACAGCATTCAATAAAATTCAGAGTGATAGGTTTTTTCACTCTACAGTAACAATATTTTATTTTTTAAATAACAATGATGACAAATTTGAAATAATACACTATGCAAGAAATTCTAAAAATAACACTCAATAAAATGCTTTATTTGGTTTAACTTATTTTTAAATTTTAATTTTCTACTTGTTTTAGGCCTCGCCTCTATGTGTGTTCCGATGTACATTGCTGAAATTTCTCCCCAAGATATCCGAGGTACTTTGGTGACTATCAATAACTGCGCAATCACTTTGGGACAATTCATCGCCAGTTTGGTAGATGGTGCATTCAGTACAGATCACGTAAATGGGTGGAGGTAAGAGCCTAATAATTATCTTGTTCTAATAGTATTAATTTTTTTTTAAATAATTGCATGAAAATCAATAGTCTGGACGAATGGATATAGAAATGTACGATTTATTAATGTTCTCTATTGGAAACCGACAAATTTATTCTCTCCAAATTCTTAATTTTTCAATAGATGGCGCTGTTTATTAGAGAATCTTATCTATATATTAAACTATAGCGTTAAAATGACTGTAATATAAACTAACTATTATAGTACAACACTAAAATGAGTTTGTGTGTGTCTCCTATAACTCAAACCGTTTGCTCTATCAGCCAGAATTCGGATAGCGACTGCAAAGGCAAATTTTTGTCCTCGATTCAGAAATCCGTTCCAAATTTTAATTTGGATCGTTCGGAAGAGCCCTTAAAAAATTGGATTTTCTCAATGATTAAGAGTTAACCATTGTTTTAAATTAATCTATAGACAATTCTGTGTATGTCAAATATTTTAATGATGACATAACTATTGTTTCCTTGCTTATAGCTCTATTTGATCAAAAGGTTTATTTCACTTTATTATTTAATTATTTTTTATTTTCTATGTTAGATACATTCGATGATCAACGGTAACATGGGCGAACTATGTCACCAAATTAGTATTTCTAAAGTTACCTGAAACTGCGTGTTTATTTTGTTCATAGTAATTCGTTTGTTTCTCTTTCGATGAAACTAATTAAAATGAACTGTTATTGAAATGAGAAAAAAAAGATATATATTGAAAGGCGTAATCTATATTATATAAAACGCTAATGCGTATGTATCAATAAAACCGATAATATTTCTTTTCTCGCGTTGGCGACAGTTTTCATTTTTAATTGATAGGCTTCGGCGCGCAAGAGCAAGTAGTGAGCATTATATGGCTAATCTATATTATATAAAACGCTAATACGTTTTAATTGATAGGCTTCGGTGCGCAAGAGCACGTAGTGAGCATCATATGTCTAATCGGGTGAATTCTCACCGAATTATCAAAAAAATTCTCACAAAATTATCTTCATCGAAGCCGATGCTTTACATCCGGCGTTCAGTACTATTTCATATTGTTTTACAACACATGGTTTTAGCCCTCTGGTGGGAAAGACTTTAAAACAAAACTTACAAAAGTTACTTTTCTCAACAACTGAAATTTAGAATAGTGTGATTAAGAAAAATATTTGAACTGTTTGCAATTTCAAATTAATATTGAAATGCACAGGTTTAGAATTTTCTACAGTGAAAAGTTTTCGGAACTTCAGTGTTCAAAAAAGTATACAAAAGCTAGACGTTAAGAACGTATCCAATGCGCGAGCAAAGCGAGCATCGGATTGCGAAGCAATCCGAAATGAACTGCGAAAGCAGTTTCGGGGGTTGGCGAGCGCCAGCGAGCAGGGAGCGAAGCCTCCTAGTATTTTTGAAATCATGATATCGTTTAATCATATCATGTTTTAAAATCATGGTAAATCATGACATTGTCCATTTCAGAATTCAATCAGGTTCGACAGACAAGCGCGTGATGTCTCTTACATGCATCAAATTAAATCTGATTTAAATTTCGAGGTTAGTTATACTCACTTTACTTCTTCTCTAGTTGCGTGTACCCAATTGTCAATATCTTGATAAGTAAAAAATGCTTAAAATGTTTGAGCTATTTGTCCTTTTAAAAGGCTAGATTATTATTTTTTAGCAAGATACTATATACAGTGGAACCCGTTTAAGAAATTCCCGCTTATTAAGTTATTTTTAAGAAATTATTTTTGAAACAAACCAAATACCTCAATGTTAAATTTACCTTTATACAATGTTAAATTTCCCGTTTTTCCCGTTTAATAAGTATCGCACGTTTAGTTGAGGCCAGTATGAATGGTACAGAAAAATTATCGATTTTAGTTGCTAGTAAATCGAAAAATTTGTGTATTTTTAACCTTCAATTCCGTTTAAGAAGTTTTCCCGTTTAATAAGTCATTTCTTTCCACACCCTTGAAAAATTTCTTAAGCGGGTTCCACTGTATATTGTTTAGAAGTTAAGGTTTTGCGAATTATTGGCGTTCAAACAGATGCTTTTTTTCCCCTTTAGTGCTAAAACTTTTTTTAACAATTTTAAAACAAAGTAATCTTTAGTTGGGGTGATTTTAAATATCCACTGAAATTCCTACGCTCCTTAAAAATATTTGTATAGTATGTTTATAGGAATAACTAGCTTTTCAGCATTTATGTGTGTATTTTCTAAGATTCAATTGCACATAATAAAACAGTATTTTATCTGTTTGATTTCTTTTATGATCTTAATAAAATTTAGTATTTTTCGCACTCTTGAAGGTCGTTTTTTATTTCATAAAAAGCATTATAGAAAAACAAATTTGTCTGAGCATTTTAGGAAATCTATTTCTTTTATGTCATTCAAAATCGTCTTCTAGTTAGGACAAAATTGTTTACTAAATAGTATATTTTGTAATTCCATTGAAATAGAATTGTTTGAAAAAGTGGAGGATTCGGAGGTTAAAGAATTACAGTCAAGATGTAAATTTCGGGTATCATTCAGTTTTTTTTTTTTTTTAAATAAGATAAGATAGAACATTACAAAAAATTTTTAAAAATTAAAAATGAAGTTTTTATTTTGAGTTTTTGTTGTTTGAGTATTTATTGTTTTCCTACTATGCAATAACTACTAATACTATGCAATTTCCGATTCTCTGGAGCAGCGATTGCCAAAATGTGTTTTCCGGGACCTTAGGGTTCTGTGAAGGATTACAGGGGTTCTGAGAATTGTTCTTTTTTTTTACCAGAATAATGAAATTTGTAGAAAATAAAAATTTTCCATGTTGTCTGCGCTCTGTAGATTGTAGTAGATTTGACGTTACCCAGGTTGCACTGCGAGGAGGCCAACTACACCACTAATGCTCTAATGTTTTAAATGTTTATAATCTAATAATATTTTTATGTTGCATGCTTAATTAGATATTGTTTTATATTCAATGTTTATTCTCGTAGTATGTTTGCATGGAGTGTTTGCACACTCCACTGAATGATATTGTATAATAAAAAATAAATTAAATTTATATCTTGTCAATATTATTTAATATTTCGATTGTTTATATGAACTTAAATAAGTTGCCAATAAAAAACTGAGTAAAATTTTAAAAAAAAGTAAAATTTTAGTTTTATATGGAATAAATTATAAAAAGGATATGTTTCTATAAAAAAAATGCAGTTATTATTTTTTTATCGAGTTTTACAAAATAAAATAACTAAATTCAATAATGAATGATTACATTTTCTCTAACTATTCTCAACTATTATATCGGTTCTTTCTTGAAAATTATCATATATCTCATTTTACTAATTTTTTAGCGTATGTTTACACCTAGATCAATTACATAAATGCATCATTCTTCGGATTAAATATTTTTAGAGTAATTAATAGTCTCTTATTTTATTTATATGCTGATGAAAATACTTCCGTCAATAAAAACTCGACTTCCGGCGAAAAGCTTTTACTTCCGTCAATAAAAGCTCGATCTTTAGAGTTTCACAGCCGAAAAAAGTTGGGGACAGCTGCTTTGGAAAACTGTCCTGCGATAACAAAATTTTGAAAGCAAAATATGAAAACGATCAATAAAATGCCTGTTTGCTGAAGTATTTCGTTTTCGTTAAATTTTTTTCATGCTATATATTTTCCTCGTGCGATATAACTTCAACGCAAGTTTTAATATTTTCAAGATATTGTGTATGAGAGTTTTTGCAATTATTTTTCTAGAACTTTTTTAAATTAACTCTATTAGTTCATCTTATCGCTATTCTTAATCGAAGCTTTGTCTCCAAGGAAAATAAAAAGAGCCATAATTTAAGTGCCTTGCACTTGAAGCAATGCGATGATTTTAAATTATATATATAATCTTGCCGTGGAGAATTATTTGGGCTTTAGAATTGGAAAATAACTTAATTTAAAAGTTATTAAACTTTTTTTTAAAAATTCGCCAATTTGGCTACATTTTTCAACCTAGATGAAAATTATCAAAATCACTGCCTTATTCTCAGTTTTTGCAAATTTTTATGAGCCCATGTAATGCAGCATTGGAATAAGTTTTTAAGTATTAAAAAATTAGGCCACGAACGCTTCATTTTCATAAAACTGTGTCTTTTTTTTCATGTTGACATTTTGCGCCATTTTCAAAATGAGCGTTAACAGAGCTAGCTTTAGATAGACTAAACTTGACCTACCAGTCATGAGTAACAGTGGCAAACTCACAGCAGTTATAAAAATAGCATATTGTTAGCAAAAAAGCCTAATTTCGTATTACGACGGAGTTTTGAAAAACAGCCTTAAACTTCCTACAGTGATAGATTTTTTTCTCTCCTTTCACTAGAATTATAATTGATACAGAATCTTTGTCAAATTTCAATTAGTTTTTGTAAAATTTTACTTAAATACTAATGTTGGTCATAATCTTAATATTTATTTTTATCTTCTTTTTCCTGTTTAGATATATGTTGGGTATTGCAGCAGTTCCAGCGATCATACAATTGGTTGGGTTCATTTTCATGCCTGAATCTCCCCGGTGGCTCATTTCTAAAGGTCGTTACGACGCTGCTCTGGACGTACTACGAAGAACTAGGGGGCCGAATTCCAACTATGAAGCAGAATTTGAAACTATTAAGAGCAATTGCTTAGAAGTAGATCGAGAAAAAGAAAATGGTTCGTATAAAGCTCTTAATACTAATTGTTTTTATTACAGAATGAACGATGTATTGAGGTGTCGAGAAAATTTTCTTCTTCTGTAGTTCTACAGCCTATTGCTGTGCCCTGACTTTTTCCATAATTCTATTCCATACAACCCTCTGTTTTCACTTCTCCCTCCACCTACGGATCTTCATTATTTCCAAGTCGTCAATAACGCCGTCCTTCCACCTTTTCCTTGAGCGGCCTCTGGGCCTGGCTCCCATATCCAGTTAATGATCTTTTTCGAGCCGTAATTATTGACTCTCCTCTCTGTGCCCAGCCATAAGAGGTGCTGGGATTTGATAATGCGAACAATATATTTTTTTCATTTATGATACTTTCAATTTTGAAGTTCAACTTGATTTCGAAGTTCAACTCTATCATTAATAGGTCCTGGTATTCTCCTCAGGACCTTTCGTTTTAACACCAGCAGGTCATTTTAATCTGTTTTGGCCATTGTCCAGGTGTTTCACTTCCGTATGTCACAATTGGTCTGATAATAGTTTTACAAAGTCGCATTTTTAAGGATTTTATAAACAATTTATTTTTCAAAAGGCAACTCTATAAAAAGTAGGAATGGCTTCCTTTAAGAATTTTTGCATGCATTTCTTCTGAGTTACTTCCTGGAGCCAAAGTAGGTGAAACTATGCACTCTTTCAAAATCAAAATGATCTGCAGGAAGTTTTGTTATTTGATCATTTGAAGTTTTACTTTTTTCCATGTAGTAATTAGTTTTTCCTGCTTTAATTTTATGTCCCACCTCCATTGCTGATCTTCATCTACTTATAATCGGCAAAAATTAAAATCTGATGTTCTGTTGCAAATTGTTGAACAATATGCTCCAGAATCAAATTAAATAACAGGGTGAGGTAAGAGTGCTTCACCCGTCGGACGCCAGCATTTATATAAAATTCATCTGTCAGTTCATTCTGCACGATTGAAAAATTTACTAAATATTTTTCAATCTGATTTAAATTACTAACTTTTAGCTAATTTTTTGAATTAGTTTTTAATCTAAATCATAAGCCTCGCCAGCAAGACATACGGAAGGCCATAAGTTTTCAAGAATATGCGCATATGGTTCATGTTCTTCGCCTATCATGGGCCTTTTCGTTTCCACTCGGTCTCTTAGTGTGGGTACTTAATTTTAAATATAAACAAAAATGTTCGTGGTAATTGTAGAAAAATTTTACTGTCGATTGACCCTCTGACGAGCATGCCGTTAATGAGGATCGAATAAAATTTTGTATTATTAAGGTTATTATTAGGATGTGAGCTATATAAAAGCGTTAAAAATTCACCAATTTTAATTAAAATTCTCAAATTGTTTAACTCTCGCGTTTACGTTGCCGGAAATATAATAAGTTTACAAATGACTGAACCTACTTCTTTTTTTTTTATATCGAAACTATATTTTTACACTATAGTGGCGAGGTTAAAAGGAAGTAAAGAAAAGTTTGTGATACGTCAGTGATTCAGCTCGACTAAACACGTTCTGATAGCAGCGGGAATAGAGATGAAAACAGTGATTTTTATTTCTTTTTTTTTCTCTCTCTGTCTAGCGTCGCTACTGTTCGTTCGATAAATAGCGTTTCAACTTCATTTTAAGTTTTTTACTGTGTGAGTAACGTTTCGATCTGAAGAAGAAAAAAATGCTTGCTAGTCTTTGAAATTTCCGAAATTTTATCATGGCAACCGCAAGCGAGAAAATTAGACGTTAATTAACACTAATTCTAAACCTTACCTTATGATGCCAAATTCATTTCCGTTTTTTCGATTGGTATGTACACCGAGACGTCATATAAAGGCAAAATTATGTCATGCTCACCCCTCAATCGTTTTTGTATAAAGCTATATTTGTCTTTTGTGCATTTATGTGAATTAATCTTCTCAACGTAATTAGTACTCCCACCCTCTTTCCAAAAATATTTTTAGTCTTGTTTAGTCATTAAATTGATTACTTTTTGGTTATTCAAAACAATAAATCAATCATCAAATTAATTAGACTTATATTTTTGTTACATAGTACTAGGGTTCTTAATTTAATTGTGTAGTTTAATTATTGGTCGGAAAAGCAACATTATTTTTGTATTTTATTATACTGTATTTTACTTAGTTACAAATGTAGTTAACTGCAACTGCTTTTTTAAAATGTAGTGACTACAAACTATTTGGGAATATAGTCACTTCTTTAAGGAGACGAACTTTGCTGGAGAACTTAATTTACACTGATGTTTAAGATGGTTTTGAATTAGAAATTGACTTACGAATCTTGATGATGATAATTGCATTAAGCATAAAAGAATAATTAAGAAATATTTGTTCATGTTTACATGAGTCAATTTGTTGTACCAAGAAATTTTTTTTAACAATCAACTTTTTGCTTTTTCGACAGCGACTATTTAATTTATGAAATACGAAAATATCAAATACTTGCAATTTTTTAATTGTTTAGTGCTGTTTTATTTTTTCTAAGTAGTTAGTTAATCGAAAATACGTTCCCTTCCTTTGAAACAACATCAATGTATCACTAGTGGACATTCGCATATGAAAGTGTGATCAAAGTGATAAATTATCTATTTTTCGTAATGGCTAGTTTAAATGTTAGTTACAAGTGATTTTAAATGCGCCATTTCTGTTAACACTTAGCAGTTATGGGGTCATTTTCATTGTATCGATTGACGGACCCGCGAAGATTTGTACCTTTCAAATTCGAAAAAATAGTTGCGTCAGAACTGTGTTTCTTTTCTCCTAAACTAACGTTGAAAGTAGTTGCCAGAAATCACTACACTACTTTTTTAAAAACACTACACTACAAACTACGAAAAAAAGTAGCGACTATAGTAGTTTCACAACTTCTAGTGCGCTATTTCCTACAACTGGGTTTAATCCTAGAAATTAGATCCCATTGCGTGAGTGTTATATAATTTTATGATTCACAATAGTAGTTACTTATTTTTGTTGCTGTTTCATTGTTTGATTTCTTCTGTTAACCAATTTTTCCTTCTCATTTTAGAAACAGCCTCCATCATTCGACAAGTATTGCGAAATTCCTCTTTGCGAACAGCATTGATTGTCGGCTGTAGTTTGCAGGCCATTCAACAGTTATCTGGCATCAATACTGTTATGTAAGTGAAATATTTCATAACAATTGAAGATACGGGGAAAAGAACGGTTTTTTGTCCATTTTTCTCAAAAATGACTATTTGATCGCCACTCGTTGCATTTTGAAGATTTAAATTTTGACAAATCAATAACGTGAAAAATTAGTTCTGCCCGAGAGTTATTACGCAATGAAGATGAGTCGTGCTATGAGAAAACAGTTCATGTGCACGCACTTTACCTTGATTCTTTAATTGAAGCAATTATGTTGCGTTTCGAAAATGAATCAAAGCTGAACTTAAGTTCGGAGGGATAAGTGACAAGTTTTTTTTTAAGGGTTAGACAATGTTGGATATTTAACTTTTTTGATTTTGTTAAAATTTTCAGGGTTTATTTTGCATGTAAAACTATTAATGTTTTTTTAATTTGCTAAAAAATATGTTCTTGAAGCTTTTTTTTTTTTTTTTTTTTTTTTTTTTTTTTTTTTTTTTTTGGAGGATAAAAACTGAAGATCCTTTGGAATATTGAGAAAAATAATCTGTTTAGCGATTGTGTGATGACTGCTATTTATTTATAACTAACTACCTTAGGCGACTAGCTGATCCACGTTTTTAAATAAGTGGAATTTCGAGATTAAAATCGCTAATCGAAAATCAAGATAATATATAAGTATAATAAGCTATTAAATTGTTTAAGTGAGCGTGGATTAAAATTTTGTCTCTTACACCGTACGCTCGTATGGTATCCTTGTAAATTTATTGTTAAAATGTTTAGTATAACATATTAAAATTTAAGAGAAAATAAATAAATATGCTAACTATCTCAGTAGTTCCTTTGTTGATGGATAATAAATCAAATTGGTAACTTTGTCAAAATCAAACTGTGTAGTTATTTGCTGTTATTAATTATGCGTGCTTATGAATTTAATTTGTAAGGATGCGGTCTAAATTGTAAAGATGCGGTAAGGTCTTGAAAGCGAAACGGAATTTAACTGTTATAAATTTCTTAAAGTTAAAAGAATACACAGATCTAGAACATTAAACAGTACATTTTAAAGCAATAAATAAACTAAAAAACAGCATAACCAAGTAATGTTGCATTAAAAAGTTAAATACAATCGACATTTATTTGACCCGTTTAATTGGTTATCAAAATGAACTTTTATTTTGCCAACCAGTTTCATTTAACTTTTTTAGGCCAAAACGAAAAATTTTTGCTATTAAAAACTTCCCTTTTCTGAGACCCAACAATTGAGATTTAATTAATTTAAGTTTTAAATGTGTGTAATCAAACATATAATTTACGTACGTTTGTTACCCAACCTCTTATCCTCTACATTCTCAGTTATTACCATGTGTTGGCGACTGCTTTTCGTTTTTCTAACAATAAAACAACAACAAAACTTTTTTTTTTGCTGTTGTTAGAAAAACGAAACATGACCAACAGGGAAACGAAATGAAAACGAAAGTAAGTTAATACTAGATAATAGATAATATTAAGCGCTAAAGCTGTATTAAATATGATCACTAAGACAGCACAATAAAGACAGAAAGGATTTTTAAAAAAAAAGATGAGAAAAACGAAGAAAATAAATAATAATTCATCGTTTACCAAAGCGTTCCTAACTTTATAGAACTTTTAAATGATAGTTGGGTCTCCAGAGGTTTAATGCGTGTTTTTGAAAACGCACGCAACCTGGTATTTCAGTGTGCTAGTCTACTACAAAATTTTGTTTTTCAAAGGGAAAAATCAATACTAAAAAAAAAATAGAAGCAAAAATAGAACTCTTTAATGAGGTTTTAACTGTGTAGATAAATTTAGTGCTCTGTTTATTTGCCTGTGTATAATAAATGAACATCATTTGGAATTTTCGACAAGTTTTTATTAGACTTTCTACAAGTATCTGTCATTTTTATTATAATTTTTTTTTATCAGTGTAATTATCGAGGCGCCATAGGCACCTTTTTTAACAATATTTATATCTACACGTTATTTCAATTATTTAATCTGATCGCTTTATATAGTCGCAATAAATTATATATAATTTTATTAAATATTTAACGTTTTACTGTATAAAAAAAAATTATTTTCGCTAGAGGGGTCATCTTATTACAACGTTATTTACAAAATTTTCTTTACATTCAGACTTTAAAATGCTACTGTCTCGTTTCTTAATTTTAGTTACTGGTATATGCACATTATACAGGGGTCGTAAATGTCCTTATATTCCTGATAAAAAATATTTTGTCTTTACTTAACACCTCTTCTCATCTTTCAAAGCTAACTAATTTTTATGATATAAAATTAAATGCAAACTTAAGCTAAAATAAATAATTGTTTATTTATTTAAAGTAGTTCTATCATTCATAATTGGTAAATTTGTTCTGACTCATAATTATATCAGTAGGGATCATTTTTATTGACGCTAAATTTTATTCATCTATCCGGTTTTCATGACGCCAACACAAGTGGCGTTTACGCATCAAGAAAATGACGCTGACTAAACTTAAAATCGTTTGCAAGAAATCATGAACCTTCGCTACCATTTTGAAGTCAATGCAGGTAACCCCTAAGAACCAACAACCTGCATTAATGACACTATTTTACTGTAGTACAGCGAGTGGTCGCTCCTGAGAGGTTTCACTGTACTTTATAATGAACTAAACATTTTGATGTGTAATTTTGATCAACCTGACATGCGCATTCCTTTTGCATGTTAGGTTAAGCCAAATAATTACAATAGGCAGATCTACATAATATACATGAACGCGAGAATGCAGTTCGCGTAAAATTTGTCACCATCGCGAAAAAATTTTTACTATTACTTAAAAGAAAAAACAAATCCACTTCTTCTAAGAAAGTTTGTCTTTTTTGAACTTCCGAGAAAAAAATTTTCATTTTTAAGCCTTTTCTTTATGTAAACGCGATTAAAAGCATGATTCATGAACATTCACATGATTTAAAATCTCAGAACGCGATTCCTATTTACGCTATTTAAGATTGTGCATCGTATTTTCGCGATTTTTTTAATTAAATATCGTGTTTTGTTTTTCACGGATTTAAGAACCGCTATTTTGATTCGTGATCAAGTGACTTAATTATGCATTGGAATTCGTATTTACGCGATTTTAAAATTAAACATCGAAATTCGTATCCAAGCGATTTTTTTAAAAATTGAGGTAATAAAAATTTAGGGTCGAAATACGCATTCGCACACTGAAATTATTTGCACATGAAAATCACTCATTGAAATTCATATTCCCACAATTTAAACAAATAAATAAAATCTCGCATCAATATTTTTCTTTAAACGTTAATAACATTCTTTGGATAAATTCTTTCTACATAATAATTTGGATAAATTCTTTCTACATAATAATTTGGATAAATTCTTTTTCCTTACCCAAACTTCTTACTAAGATGTACAATTTTTAATGTGCAGGTACTATAGTGCTACTATAATCGAGATGAGTGGTGTAAAGGATAAAAGCAAGGTCATCTGGTTGTCAGCCGCAACTTCAGGAATGAATTGCATTTGTTCTTTCATCGGACTTATATTCGTAGAGAGGGTAGGACGGAGGAAACTGCTTCTTACAAGTTTGGTTGGTATGTGTATTCTTTTTATTTTCTAAATGTTCTAGTAATGAAGCTGCTATGAGTACAAGTTACAAATGTTTGCTGTATATTACTTTGTTGTTTTATCGCAGTTTAAGTTTCGTTAATATTGATTTAATAATTTATGTACAGAGTAGCAAATAAGTTATCTGTTTAGTCCAACATAGTGTCTATTGTGGTGCATAGATGTAGCTGAAACTTGGTATTACATTATATGAACCTAGCGAAAAACATGTGTGTCGTAAATGACTTTTCATTTCACAAACAACGATAGCGCTTTTCAAGTTATGTAAAAGACGCTATTGCAACTTGGAATCGTTTAAAATGACAGTAGTCACAGCCACAAAATCATTCTTACTAAAAAATAACTGAAAAGATCACTATTAAATTGTATGATATTTGCATGATTTTTTGAAGTTATACTTCTTATGCGACTTCCAACAAGGTTGCGTTAAACGTTTAACGCTACATTTTTATTGGCCGGGAAATCACGTGGTAGGATCCAGTTTTCCATCATTCATTTCCATATTGTTTTGGTTCTTACTAGCATAAAAATAATAAAAGTCATAAAAGTATTGTTTTTCTATAAATATTTTTTTAGTTTGATTTGATACACATACAATTTAATAGGATAGTATTTTTTATTTTCAAATTTAGTGGACAACAATTGTAAAAAATGAGTGAAAACATTGCCCACGGATAATGCGACGGATTTAAGGTTATGTCAAGGTACGTCTCTTGTGAATATCAATTGATTGGTAGGTTTTCTCTGTTGAAATTATATTATGACGCATTCACATACATTATTAATACAAATACATTTTCCATGGCGAGACGATGAGGCAACCACAAGCACTTCCACTAGTTCAAGAGGTCCACGATTGAAAAATGCACAATATTACCGTTATTACAGAGCACAGAAGCGAGTGGAACAGAAGAAAAGAGTCGTTGAATAGAACTAGTGATACCTCTACGACTGCTGATTCTTCTACAATTAACGTCGCAGGTTACGAAGTTTAACTTCCTCCGCGCGGAGGGACTCCACGCACTATTTTTTTTCTACAAGCGAAACATTTAATTTTCCTCTAATTAATTATTGATTGTTAATTTTTCTATTACATTGTTATAATTCTTGAAGTTTTGTACAGCAAAGTAAAATATAATGTAAGATTGAATATCCAAAAACAGTGGTGGTGGCCATGATTCATATTATTTTCTACTATTGAGAGATTTAAATAAAATTTATGTGCAGCTGTGGTCAAAATCATTATGAATACACTTCGATAAATCAAGATAAAAGTATACATTTTTTTTCCCATTTAAAGAAAAAGAAGAATCTTTTGACAAAATATAGAGATTTTTCAGTTATGCTATCAGTATGTTTTTATGTTTAATTTCTTGATTTTTATGTCTTAGGCGTAATCTTAAGTTTGACTGTGTTGGGAATCAGCTTCCAGTTGGCGGATACATATTCTCCAGCTTTGACCTATCAGGATACATCAACTGTTGGTTCTGTATGTCATACGTTTAGGTAAATATTTGTTATGCAAGTATAAGAAAAGGATAATATGATAGTATTTAAAAATGTTTCTGTAGTCTTCAATGATTAATGCTTCAATGATTCAATACTTTCTTAGATGAATTCTAGTTCCAAATTTAGAAATTGAAAATCAACAAAATTATATCAATTTTAAGGACAGGGTAATTTATACAAACACTTATATTTTAATTTTTTTATTCTTGTTTTAATATAATTTAGAGTTTTTAATGCAATTGTAAAATATTTTTTATACTTAAAATTATTTAATGTACTCATTTTATGTATAAAAATATTATGTAAAGCCTCTAACACCTTCAAGAAAAAATAATTTTCAGGGGAGCATTAACTGACTGTAAATTATGAATAATAATGTATTATAAATGATTATGATTGTATTTATTTTTTCCATCTTGCATTTGAAAAGACAAAGGAAATCCAGTAGCAATATCAGGTGTGAACTGCAAAAATATAAAAATGTTTTTAAAAGGTACTAAATCAAATTGTATCCAAAAAAATTAAAAAACATTTTTGTTCAAAATGTGGAATGAAAAATACTGAAAATTTTATACAAATTGATGTTAATACAAATAAAATATTTTGGTTTTAAAAACTACTTAACAAGAACACACATAAAGTTTCAGCTCTTAAAATTTTTTTGTTCTATTAAATTTAAGAGTAAAATACCATCGAGCATTTACTTATATATTACTTATATCCATTAATTTTTCCATAATTTGTTTATTCACGAATCTCCAAAAGAGGATTAATGACGTCTATTTGTAAAAAGTATAAGAATTCACGCTAATGTTGTGTAACTGATTTTGCTATTATTACTGTGTTTGATTATCTTCATAAAATTGAAGATTGAATATTTAATTGCATTGAAAGTATAGATTCAGTTGCTTTTATGAACGAAAAATTAAATAAAATTGATTTGCTCAGATATTCTTGATTATAATTTTCAGTTCATGTGCTGGATGTATTGACAATTCAGCGTGCGGGTACTGTTACACTGAGTATCAAAATGGCACTCTCGATGGAACCTGTTTAAAAAGAAATGCTACGTACCAGATATTATCAGATGGGGGACTTTGCGATAATGGAAACCTGCCTCCTCATGTTACTTGGACTTATGAATGGTGTCCCACCAAATACTCGTGGATCACATTTTTAGGATTGATGTTATATTTATTTTTCTTTGCACCAGGTACAGTTTGTTTTATTTATAAAAATTTATTTTATTTTGTATAATGTAGTGGTGCAAAACCTTAAGATCTGGAGGCCAGATGAATTCTTTAATTGTTTGATATGTAGCCTCCATAAAGATTTCTTTTAAAAAATTTTAGATTCCTTAGCAAATTGTAACACAGCATCTCAATTCTGAGCTGCGGTGGTTCAAGAGATAAAACGTTTGCCTCCCAGGTTCAAATCCCATCGGTGGCTGGTTGATGCGTAATTCTCGTCCCGGCTTGCGCTGACCACAGTGCTGGTGTAAAATATCCTTAGTGGTAACACACAGATCATAGGTTTAGAATACAATTGTCGATTAAGTTATGTTAATGTTTTGTACCAGTCATAAAGCAATATTTTATTGTGTTTATGTTGAAATATGTTAATAATTATTATTTTTACAATTTCGTTACCTTTGTTTTTGTCTTTAACGTCTAAAGGAAACAGTGGAACCTCCAAAAAAGACCACCTCTATTTACGACCACTTGTGAGAGGCATGGAATTTTTTCCGTAGACTTTGTGTTTAAGAAAACCTTTATAAGAGACCATTTTAACCTCTTCCAGTGACCGGGAAAACATCTGCACCAAATGCGGAAAAGGTCAAATAAAGAAACACTAATAAATATTAAAACTAAACATTTAACAAAAGAAATAAGTAGATTAAAATGTATTCAAAATATTTGTGTGACGCTCTGATTTAGAGAACTCTTTTTGAGATACAACCTCATGTCGCAGTCAGAGTGCACTAAAGACAATGCTATCAATGATTTACTTTTAGAGTTGAAAATTAAATTAGAAAAAAAAAGGTATTTTAGAAAAAACATCTCAAATGGAGAAACCTCTTCTCAACTTCTAAAGCTAACTAATTTTCATGATATAAAATTAAATGCAAAATTAAACAAAAAACATAATTGTTTATTTATTTAAAATGGCTTTATCATTCATAATTAGTAAAATTGTTTTTACACATAATTATATCAGTTCGGATCATTTTTATAGACAATCTAACAATTTTAAAGTCAATAGCGGCAACCTCTAAAAATGACCGACCTCCATCCAAAACAATTTTACTGTGGAACAGAAAGTGGTCGCTCCCGAGAGGTTTTACTGTACCAGCAAAATATATATATATATATTTTTAATATTGCATTTTCTGTTAAGATTACTTCTACTCCCAAAATCTTCTTACTATATTTACTAATATGTATTTAATTTAAAATATTTTCAGGTATGGGATGTATGCCTTGGACAATAAATTCAGAAATTTATCCTTTATGGGCTCGTGGTACATGCTACTCAATTGCTACATCAACTAATTGGCTGTGCAATTTTGTGATTTCCTTGACATTTTTGGATTTGATGCAAGCTATCACAAAATATGGTTAGTAAAAATATTTATAATTTTTGAAAACTAGATTTTGCCTTAACCACGAGTTTACAATCGTAGTTTTATGTTTATAAGTATCTTTCACTTGCTTGAATTTTTTTAACTGCCACAAAATATTTAAAAATACTCTGAATTCTTATCTTTATTACAAACTATAATATTAATAAGGATTAATTTTTAATTTAAAGTATTTCAAATTAATGCTAGAGTAACATTCATCTTTAAATGTTGTAAAATGTTTTGTCAAATAATTACACACTTCCCATATCCAACCTATTAAAAACTTTTCAATGTAAATTCTCCAAGAAATTTTTATTCATATTCACCAATCACTGGTTTAAAAAAATAGCTCCATTATTCTTTATTGACTTTCGCGTTTGTCTTTCTGATATTTGGGTTCAATACACAACTATAGGATGTCCAATAATTTTGCTTGCAGTATTTATATTGTAACACACATAAAACTGAAATAATGTCTGAAAACACTATGCTACAAAAAAAAATTTTTTTTCAAGCACTGATGCTATTCCTACTGGTTCTTACTTGACCTTTTGAATCCAAATATGATGTGCAGGTCGTCGGGCTACCGAAGCGGGGGTGCCATCCCCTCTGCAGAGGATCTAAATTGTGATGGCATATCTTCGGGGATCCTCATCCTCAGGGATGTTTCCCAAACCGTCGCCAACAGCCCATTGTGCAGCTCTAGTGCGACGTAAATGAACAACAACAACCAAATATGACCCCCATTTACCAGAAGCCCTTCTCTTATGTTAATCACTTTTTGATAATTTTATGGCCATGAATTTGATTTGGGGGAAATAAAAGGAGAATTATTTTTGCTGTTAAGATGATAGAGAAGTGAAAAGTTCTGCAACGAGAAAGTTTTCAAGGTGTTGTCCTCTTCAACTGTAAAAAAATTATTAGAAATAATCATCTTTTTAGTTCATTTCCTTTAGAATCTTTTAAATTATTTTCTACATATTCTATCTTGCAGCCCACATTTTCTCCCCTTAAGAATGCTGAAAAAATTCTTTGAATCAGGTCTTCCCTCTCTGATCTCTCCCTGATCTACTTTTAATCAAACCGTTTGATAAATATTTTTATTTCTTAAGGGTGTTTAAGGGAGGAAAAGTGGCCTGCAAACTAGAATATGTAGAAAAAAGCTCAGAAGCGCTGTTTAAAGAAACTCAAAGAATTTTCTTCAAAAATTTTTTTGCAGTTATAAGGTGTGAAATGTGTCAAAATCCCCCACTTTTTTTCTAATTGTTCCCGTTTTTTGGATGTTTTCACTTCTCTAACCTCTTGTAAAAGGTTTAATAATAAAAATAATTACTTTCTTCAATCTAATTCAAAGCAATCAACCAAAAGCTATGAAGTGGTTTTACAGCTTCCAAACTCTTTGCATACCCTCCAACTGCTACGGAATTTCCGTAGTTTCAGAAATCTTCTTTTCAGACGGTAGCAAAATTAATGTCATAATATTTTTAAAAAATTAATTTTAGCGCAACTTGTCCACTATTACTTATAAAAGTGCAGGCCATATGGCTAGATTCTTAAGTTATGATAAAAGTTTTATGAGATATCCATTTGCTTTAAAAACTTCTACTTTGGTTCGCTACCACTAGAAAGAATTATTTTCAAAATCCTCATAAGTTGGAGGGTATGTCTTTGCATACTATTCTATTTTATTATTTTGAGTAGGAGTAAATGCTACTGAAACTGAATAATGAAGAGTGTACGAATTTGAGAGCAAGTATAGAAAGAAATTTTTATAAATGTTATCTGTCCTCGCCTGTATTAATTTTGATAAAAGACAAAAGCTTATACTTAATTTTGCCTCTTTTGTTGGGAATATAACTGTAATACTTTTCACTGTGTCTCAGAATGGTTTGCTTAAAACTGTATGAGTATTCCCTATAAAAGACTATTCTAGGTAATTTAAATAATGAATAAGCAATCTTTAATTTTGATAGGTATTTCGATTATAGAGGAGTTTGTAAGTTTAATTACATGATTTGTGACAGAAGCATGTTAAATTGTTTTTTCTTCTTTTTCTTAATGACAGCTTTGTACGATTACCCTTTTGTTATGACAGAATGTGTACATTTCATTATCTATTTTTCTAGGTGCATTTTATTTCTATGATTCATTAGCTGTTATTGGGTTTGTTTGGCTGTTTCTCATGCTTCCGGAAACAAAAGGTGTTTCTCTGGAAGACGTTGAGGGACTCTTCAATCATCCATGGTGGAAGGATGCAACTACCAGTACAGAGAAGAAAACAGTGCAGTATGTACATATTCGTGGTATCAATCGTGCATTTGCTGCAGAAGATTCTGATGAAGATAGTTGATTTGTTATTTGTATTTCTTTCTTGCTTTTGTCTATTGCATTGATGACATGGTTAGAATTCCAACCTTGATATTCCAGTTCCTACCTTAAACCAAATGATCTCTATCATTGTTAATCCTGATCTATCTGAAAAATCCAAACTCATCTTAAAAATATTTAACATACCGAATGTTCTGCAATCACTGCTTTGAATATATGACGTGTTCCTTAATGGCCACCCTTAATATATATTTTTTGTATCCATGTCAAAAATAAAGTGGGAAAAGTATACACATTAGAGAACACAAATTAATGTTTAAGCAACTAAGAAAACAAGAACTACATGAAGTTATGAGAAATCGATACAGAGGCAGAGCCAGGCTTAAAAATCTAATCAGTTTGTCGAAACATGAAGAGGTTTCTAATAATACCCTTTTTACTAATGTCTGTTTTTCTGGCAATCGTGGAGCTTTTGTTGTTTTTAGTCACACCTTCCATACTAATTTAAATTTTGATATTTTTTTTGTCATTATGATCATTACAGAATACCCTGTACAAGTTTTAGAATCCTTGTCAAAAATGAACTAAAAGGAATGTATGCATTGATAGTTGTAAATTAATATTGAATGAGGAAAAAGCGAAAACACTATGAAAATCTCTCAAATCGCTGTTGAGAAACCTGTTATCAAAACCTGTTAGGTTAATGGAAAGATACAGATAGTAGTTGAAAGATGATCATTAGAAACGCCTTCAAATTTCTATTGGTTTTTATATTTACACATCAATATACTCTTAAAGTAATTTGTAAAGTTTTTTTTTTATTTTAAGGTATTTTGACTTCCAATGTCATACTTTTTTTAAACTAGAATTCTAAAATTTTACGTCAAAGACAGTGATTGTAGTAACAGCTGTATTTAACTGAGAATCTTTGCTTTTAAATAATGAACTAAATTTCTATTAAGTACGCAAAATTGTCAGGAATTAAAAAGATGTTTCTGCCTAAATATCTAAACCCGAAATAATTGAAAATCAGTTTATATTACAGTGAAACCTCTCTAGAGCGACCACTCTCTATTCCACGGTAAAATGGTCGTTAGTGGAGGCTGGTCGTTCTTAGGGATTACCTCCATTGACTTCAAAATGTAATTGAAAGTACATGAATTTTGGGAACGATTTCAATTTTAGTCAATGTCATTTTCTTGGCCACTAGTGTTGGCATCATGAAAAACTGATCTCATTACCACTTGGTAATTTTGTGTAAAAACCAAAAATTTCTTTCAATTTTTTTCTGAAAATTATGCAAAAATATTTGTGTACGTCTACATAATTGTTTCGTGTTTTCATGATAAAATTTTTTATTTCCAATATTATTTCAAAAATCAAAAGGAAATTACTTTCAATTTTTTTTTTTGTTGCTTTCTATGATGTATTGCTGTTTGTTTGTGTTTTGTCTGTGTTTTTGTTGCTGTGTGTTCAAACTTTTTACTTGTACTAATTTTCAACTCTTCATAAACTCTAGTCTTTAGATCTTTTTATTTTGGTTATCATAATATACTATAAGTGTTTAAATAGGAGTTAACTTTTCTATAGATAATTTTTTACTCTTTGAGAAATATGCACTTTATACCTGTTAAGAAAAAAACATTTTTTTTCTATTAAACTTTTTCTTAATATTTACTATTTTTATTTTAAATTACTCTTTTTAATAAGTCTGTGTTAATCTGCAGCATTAATAAAGTTTTCTCTCACAATGTCCGAAACAATGGTATTTTTGTAATAGTTTAAGTCTGATATGAAATGTTAAAAATTGAAATCACTAATTTTTATAGTCTGTCTGTAAATTTTAAAATAATTATTATAAAAATTTCAAAACCTGTAAATACTTTAGAATCCAAATTCTAATGTTAAGATAATTGCCTATATATACCTATAATCTTAAATTAATTTTTACAGTTAATGTGAAAACTAAAGATAGTCTTTTATTAATTTTATTCGTAATTTTTCTTAATACTACATAAACTTCCAAATTAAGAATTTCAGCCAGTTTTTAAAATTTTAAAAATATTGATTTTCTGTCATAAATGCAAACAAAAAGAAAAAACATAACAAAAAACAAGCATTCTATAACAAATATAACGACCAACAAATGTTTTTGTTTGATAAAGTATAATTGCAGTTACGCTATTGTTATTAAATGAAATATTACTGTAAGTGTAACACTGTTGTTATTACAGAAATTTTACTTCTAGTTTGAATTTCTGATCATTGAATTATTCATTTAAATGTGTATCTTTTTTATTTTTTTCAGAAAACACAAATATGAATATCTAGTTTTTAAGAATCTTAATTATACACAGACTGTATTAAAAATACAAAGTTTTTCATTATTAAAAGCGCTAAAAAATTTTATGCGCTGTTAAAACAATTTATCACTATTTACATTTTTTAGTTTTAGATATATATTTTTAATATTCTTTTTCTTTACAGAGATTAATTCATCGCCTTCGCTATCTTGAATAGACATGGTTAGTGTATTTTTTTATAATTACAAATTTCAAGTATGAACTATTTTATTAGTCTTTGCATAATTGTGCTTTCGAAAAATACTTGTAACTTAAAATATTTTCCGCTAAAGTATTTTGTTAGTCACTGTTAGCAACCACTAAAAAAATATAATTAAAAAATTCCATCAATATTTTTAAAAAATAACTTTCGATTTTGTGATATTTTTCTTTTTTTAATTTATGTGTATGTTTTTTTACTAACGTGAAAGTGTGCATTTAACTGCATATACATGTTACTAATGCACATTGTTTTTGCAATTTACTAATGTACACAAGTGTGACATTATTTGCTTATGTGATGCTCTACCTTTTAGATAATGTTTATTTGGTTCATATGTTAAGACTGATGAGTTTATATATTTTATATGAGTTTATATATTTTGAATAGTGATTGTTTATGCACAATTTTTTTAATTTTTTTTTATGTGTTGAATAAATTTGTGTATATGTGTGAAAACAATCTTTTTTTTATTTTTTAACCAAACTAATGAATTGTGCTTATTTCTTGCTTTGTCTGTCCAAATAAATAATCATTTATATTTGTTATCTTGCAATGTAGATGTTTATTGTCAATATTTGTAGCTTTGAAGTGTTGTAAAAATGTGTGAATGTCCAATTTGCTTTTGTTTTTCTGTTATTGTTTAACTTTCCTGTTTCTCGAACAATACTACAATCAGATACGGAATGTGTGGCTTAAAATTGATATTTTTTTAAAACTTTTTAATAATTGCAATATTTTATTTGGTAAAAGATGTATTATTTTTTTTTTTTCTAATTTCACAATATACCTGTTGTGTTAAAATTTTATTGCTGAAAATTTGTCTGAATATAATTAAACATTATTTTTAGCCATGAGGTTATGTGCCGATGTCAAGTGCCAGTCAAATTCGCATTTGACTGTCAGTTTTGATTTAATTTTAATAATATTTTTAGATAATAGTTTAAAGTAGTTAGGTAGTTTGCAGTGAAATGATATTTCAAAGTGCTTTGTTTTTAAAGATTTGCAGAAAATAATAAGTCGTATATATTTGTAGTGTTTGTAGTATAAATGTGTCTCTAGTTGCTTTTTTCTTTCTTCCTTTAAATTATATCCTGTTGTATAGTTTCCTTCCTGATAAAATAATTTGGTTAAAAAAAATTTATAGTAGATATAACACTTTCCCTTTTCACTTAATTGTGTAAGTAAATAAGTACTTTCCCTTTTTAGCTTTTTCTTTTTAGGGTTTTTTTCTTAAAAATTTCAATGTAAGATATTTTTTTTTAGATTTGTAGCTTGCACTCAAAAATTTTTGCAGGAATAGATTTTTTTTTTCTTTTTGTATCCCTAATATGGAAATTTTTTTTTGTGCTTTTTTAGATTGTTAGTGGCTGATATCCATTACTTATTTTTCTCAAGATTTTAAAAAAAAATATCAGACCATTTCTGTTATTTTGATCTTATATTTATTATTTGTTTTTGTAAAATAAGTGTGAAAATTACAACTGTTCGTCTTATTGATTAAGTATATTCTATTGCAAATAATTTGAAATTTTTAGTCACATTTTTTTTTTTTTCATTTCAAAATAAGTTTTTGAAAATTTTAACCTTGGTTTAACAAATTGATTAAGGAGCATAAGCAAAAAACATGAATTGCTATTATGAAACAAAATATCGTATTTTTTTAAAAATTCTTGATGCTAAATTTTACATTTTTATCCAGTTTTTAATATTTTTAAAGAATTGAAGATTTTTTAATTGGTGAAAATGTAAGGTAGTTATAAGATTTAAAATGTAAATAGCATTAAATTTTAACATTTTATAATGGTTGAAAAAAATTAAATGTTGTAATTTTTTATTTATACTTTATTGACATATTTATCATTGATGAGGAATAATTCTAATTTGAAAGTCACTTTCTTCAATCAGTTTTTTTTCTACTATAAGTTAAATGAAAATTGCTTTATTTTGATTTTTTTATACTTAAATATTCTCAATTAATTTGTTTTCAAAATTTTATTTTTCAACGCTTTCTTTGCATGCATGGTTCGCTGTTATGGATGGTTAACAGAGAGTAAACAATGCGTTACCAAAAATTTAAAAAAACTTAGTAAACTTCATGCATTCATTTCATTCATAATGCATATGCAAGTGCAAGGTGTGAACAGGCTCAAGATTCTTGGAAGCTTTATTATTGTATATTAAGTTTTAATTCAATATTATCAGTCAAATTTTTTTTCATGTTCCCAATTAATGAGGGCACTAAATTTTGAATTCAACTGAAAATATTTGAAAAATCAATAAATAAAATGAATAATATGTGCTATCTTTTGCGCGTTTTTAAGCATAAAATTATTTATTTATGATTATTTTTTGATTCGTTTCATTCTAAATGTTGAGGATAAAAAAAAAAAAAAAACTACATTACGAAAAAAACTCTGTAAAAAAATAAATAAAGCTCTTAAAAGTCAGCATGATTGCATAAATTCTTTTCTTTTGCATGAAAATAAAATAGAAATGGTAACAACCTTGTAATCTCCTTTCATTTTCGTAACTAATGCGTAATTTACTTTGTTAATGAATTAATTAACAGAGGCTTAATTAATTAATTCAATTTCGTAATTAACTTTGTACTGTCAACCATCCATAGATTTAAATATTTTTTTAATTATATATTTTTTTTCTGTATTCTTAACAGTTTTTTCACTTTGTTTATGTTTTACTTCTTATTTACATCAGGGGTGATTGTATTTCGGGTTTTTCGTATCGTCAAAAACTAACAGTAAGGCATAAATCAATCTAGTATGGTAATTTTCTCGCAAATTTTGTAATTCCGCGTATCTCAAGGCCGTCGTTTCGCGGACTTCCTCGAATTAAAATTTTCGATTGTCGAACACAGAGTTCCACAATCTGAAATTTAAAACTTTCGCTAAATCGCGTTAAAGACACATATTCATAAATGTTAATTTTCAGCCAATATTATTCTTTAGAATTGTCGGATTTGTGACATTTTTAGCACTTGAAACTACACCTGATTTTAAAGGTACACATTTTAAATTGTATTCACGCAATTTAAAAATCGTACGTGGCGATCCGTATTCACATGATTTAAAAATCCAATTTCTTGATTTTTATTTAAACTGTTTTAAAATCAGTATCGTGATTGGTATTCACGTGAGTTTAAAATCAAATGCCGTTATTAGTGTTCAAGCAGTGTCAAAAGATCGGTTATCGTATTTACACCCGATTTAAAAGTTACGAATTGCAATTCCTATTCTCGCGATCTAAAAAGTATGCGTTACGATTCGTATTTATGTTATTTAAAAATCCAATATAGTGGTTTGTAATTTCGCATTCTTAAAATCCAATGTCTCGATTCTTGCAAGAACTAAGTTTTTCTTAAATTAGTTACTAAAAGGTGTTATTTTTTTTCTTTTAAAGGTAATTTAATTATAAACCTTAGTTTAAAAAAATTATATTAAATGTTAACAATATGAATTAATATTGTGATTTCGAGTTTTTACACATAAAAGTTTCAGGGTTTTTTACTTTGTGTTACAATCACCGCTGTTACATCTTTGTCTTTAGTTTGTTATGTTAAGCAAATATTTTCTTATTTTTCTTTTTCTTATTTGTGTGCAGATTACAAACTGTATCCATTACTTCAACATCTGAATATGTGGCTGA